TAGACGAGAACGCTTACAGCTGCCTCTGGAAGGCACCGAGATGTACCTTTTTCGCGCAATGGTCAAAATCAAGGTTTTGAAACGCGAGCTGTGCCACAGTGAAATGGAACTAGCCACTGTGCTACTGGGGCGGGGACCCATGTGGCCATGACCCGAGCTGTGGGAAGGTGGGGGTGGAGCCAGAACGTGCGAAATGTTTGATCCTTCAAAAAAATATATGTTCCACAGCTTGGGCGGCAGCCCTTTCAGGTAACGACCGACGAGCTATAAGCAGGTTTTGTACAGGCTACACAGCCTGGAACCTAGCCTGGACGCTGGAGCCTGCCCTGGTCTACTTCTCTCTTATCTACCGAGTAGCTCAGTAGCTTGACACAGCTCGTGACACTGCGCAAGCAGGACGGGTGTGTGGGGTGACAGCAAAGAGATGTAGAAGGCGCGCGCACACCACGAGAGAAAGCAGACGCGAGCTATCTGCCTATGCTGCAGGCCCAGCAAAGAGGTGGAAGATGAAGGCTTGCTCAATCTCATCAGCCTGTTTGCACCAATCGCCAAGGTTATATCGCCGCGGGAGCTCATGAACAGGGATTGATTTGTTGGCAAAGAACGCCGCAAGAAATCCTTGGTCGCCCAAATCGTACGACCATAGCTCGCCCGCGAGCTCGATCATCTGAGCATGCACCAACGCGTCAGGCCTCACGACCATCACCCCAGAGTTGAACGGCAGCAACGACGGTCGTTGTATGTGCTTCATACCATGCAAAAATTCGCCCGCAGAGGCCCACTTGGGGTCCATTGCGGCAGCGGGGGTCGGGATAGCCAACAAATGATCAACGTTGCGTCGGACAACGGTGTCCCCGTCGAGCACTACCACCTTGTCGAATTGCGTGAGACCCCAAACACTCAGTTTGCTGAACGTGAGCGCCTTTTTCTTCAACCCTCCATTTGGCAGCGTGAGCCCCTTTGGCAACGGCCCGAGAGGTAGCACTGTCACATTCTTGGTGATGAACAACGTGGCCTCAGCATCTGTGAGACCATCTGCTAACAGCACAGTCGGAAAGCGTGATTTCACGAGCTGCAGACTGACAACTGCACGAAGTGCTCCACGGATCTTGCCAATCCGTGTATGCCTTCCAGTGGCCGGGGCTCCATGCGGGTTTGTCGTGTGATTTGCCATCAATCGCAGCACAAGCACGAAGGCAAACTTGCCCTTGCGGGGCACAGCTGGAAGTGCCGGTGCGACGGCGGACAGGGCGTCCTTCGGGCACAGTTGAGACCGGCGACACTCGGTGTAGCAGGGCAGACACGCACAACCATCGCGTGGCACCATGTATCCGCACAGATAGTTCACAGCTGCGTTTGTCCGGCCCACAAGACCCTTGATCTTGCTGTAGCAACCGTGGCGTGACAGCTCGAGTGAGCAAGAGGGGACTGTGTCGTTCATGGGTGCTGGCCGTTGCTGAATTGCTGCCAAAAAGTCTGGTGGACAGCTCTGACGCCGCCAGCAGGGCGCCACCGTATCCCTCTTCCAGCCAGACATGCAGAAGCGGTCAATGAACTGCGCGTACCTGGAGCCGTGCAGAGGGCCACCCGGTGGGAGCCACCATTGTGTCCGAGCTGCTGCCAGTGCGCGCTGCTGTAACTCCGCACGATTGTTGAGAGGCTGGTGCCTGAGAGGCGCACGTGGCCTGCCTGATACTGTTGCGCGCACAAGCTTGCGCTGGCCGTCTGCTGCGCGAGACTGGAGATGAAGAGCCTTTCTGCGCGTGCCCTGGCGCGTCGATTTCCACGCCGCGCTGAGTATACACGGTGGCAGCAACGTGGTGTTGCAAGACACGCCTGACCAGCCGCAGCATTGCTCCGCGCCTCCGGCTCGCAGCTCGCACCCTCGGCCACCGCACTGCCCGCAGCTGGGTGAACAGCAAGCCGGAACACCGTGCATTCCAAACCCAAATATGCTCGTGCCAGGGCATTGGCGCGACAAGCGGTCGGGGGGTTGACCGAAAGGGCACTGCGTCACCAGCAGCATTGCCGAACTTCATGTTTTTCCATTGGCTGAGAGCTTAGGGACTACTCCGGAGTAACCACACACACCTACTGTTGACAGGGTCAGCGACGGCCGTTGGGGCCTCCCAGCTCGGTCGGGGGCCGCTCCAGTTTGGCAAAGGGATCACCTGGGGGTCGTGGGTAGCTTTTGGGGCCACCCTGAGGGTCTGGGGGGGGGTTGGTG